CAAAAATGACGCATGCAGATGGCTATGCTCAGAGGCCTCATCTCATCGATGAGCTCAGTGGTGAGAGTACGAATCCAACTGAGGCAGTTCCTGATCAAAATCCCGCGGCGGCCGTTGATCCAGCTGATAGTGCAGGCTCATTTGCCACCGCAGATGATGGAGATGAGCAGAGTGAATCGTCGGCGAACCCTGCAGAGAAGGCAGATGGCGGAGAAATCAAGGCCAACTCGTAGGTTACTCAGAAAATCGAGGATGATGAGGAAGAGGCCGACGGTGGTGAGAGCAAAAAATCTGATGAGGTAAATCTCTCTGCGCCACATGAATTGACGAATCCGACCGTTGATCCGATTCTGACAGGAACAACTCAAGAGGAGGCGACAGCATCTGCCGCTGAAGCATCACCTACCTCGATCTCCGTGAGAGAGCAAACTGCAAAGGCCGAACGCAAACGGAAGACGATGAGGGCTTTGGGACTTCCGGCTCCATCAAAGAAACCCAAAAGTGTACCGTCCCTTGCTCCAGAAACAGAACCGGAGCCAGTCCCTGACTCGGTATCACAAAAGCGAACCAAAAAGGCTCGGTCTCGTAAAGCAGAGGCATCTCCTGACCAAGCGAGGTATGATCACTTTGCTACACGACAACTTTGGTGTGAAAGAACTGTCGATGTAGGTGAATCAGATGAATGAGGGTACATCAACGTGATTAGAGACAGTGGTTTGGAGTCGACGGTGGTGGGGATCACTCCGTATGTACCGCAAGTGATTCAGGAGTTTTATGCTGGGCTTCCTGGTGAACTATCTTCTGATCCAGATCAGGAGATTCGTGTCAAGCTGAGGGGTTTTGAGTACAGCTTCTCTCCTTCATGGAGCAATCGGGTCCTCAATCTAACTCCACTTAGCGAGGCTGAGGTTCACGAAGAGTCAGTTGCTGAAGCAGTCTCTCTGTCTGATGTTGCCAAGCACTTGTCGAGAGGAGGAAGTGGTTGGGGTGGACTGAGCACGAGGAATCTTCCACCGGTTTTTGATGCGTTGATTGTCATTGCGGCGTACAACTGGATTCCCTCAACCAACAAGAATCACATCTCTGAGGAGCGTGCTCGTCTGCTGTACAAGCTGAGTCATGGGGTACGGGTGGATTTCGGAAGGCTGGCCTTCAAATAGATTCTTCTAATGAGCAAAATCATCAAAAAGGACACTCGCTGGTTGGTATTCCCGTGTCTGATACAGAAGATTCTGAACCATCAACACGAGCCTCAGCTGGGTCAAGGAGAGAATCACATTGTCCCATCTCGATACAAAAAGGACTCACGCAGTGGTGAAGAGTTCATCAAGAAAGAAGCCGCAGCTGCAAAGAAGGACAAGAAAAAGGGGAAGCAAAGGGCTGATGCACCGAGAGCTCCGATTCCTCCACCTCAGTCATCTCAGCAGCAACCTGCGTCATCACCAAGTGTGCCACTTCGGTCTTTCCGTGGACCACCTCCTGATGCATCCTTCAGGTCATCCGACACTGCACCTGGTCGGACTCAAAGTGCTCCTCTCGGAGTGATTCGTGTTCCTTTGGCACCAGCGAGTGCGAATGAAGTCACGCTGGCCTTACGAGATGTGAGTCGTGTGCTTAACCATCTCCACGGAGTAGTCAATATGGTGATTGACTCATTTGCAAGTAAGTTTTCTGACTTTGACTTGTTTCTTCTTTTGGGTGTTGATTCTTGTTTTTACCTTCGGTGCTCACAAGCAGGAGGAGAAAACATGTGGGAAGAAATTCCAAGAGATGAGGCAGGAGATGATGCGGGTGCTTAAATTGTGGGGGAGCTTGTGTAATAGTCTAGTTTTTCTGATTTCGAAGTTAGGCTAAGTTTGTGGGGGAGTGTGTATTTTGCTCTAAAAACTCTTGTTTGCAGCATTTGATTCAAGATTCTGTGTTTGACGTTTTTATTTATATGAAATGCGTTCTGTTTGTCTTGGTACCTTGCTGTTTTGTGGTTGTTTGTGTGCTATGTCTGAAAACAGGTGCTTGTGAGTCACACGAAGCTAAAAAGGGGGAGATTGAAGGTGTAGCTGTACTTGAAGCAGTTGCTGTACCAGATGAAGTGAAGGATGGAATGCCACAAGCATGGAGTACGTGACAAGCGAAGCATTTGGAATTAGGAGCTGGATGAGTAGCTGAGCTGGACCAGTAGGAATGCGAGTCTTGGAAAGAAAGCAAAGCTGGATGGGAATAACGGAGCAGATCAGAAGAATGTAAGATTTCCTTAAACAAGCAAAAGTTTAAGAAAATAGGAAATATGCACCAAGCGACAAAAATGAAAGCTGGAGTGTAGGGTTTTGGCGTGTATAGCCGCTTAGTCTACTAGGTATAAGTAGAGGTGTTGAAGCATTGAAAGAGCTTAACACAACTACTAGAGAGCACTTAGCATAAGGGTGAGAGATTCAAGCATTAGAGTCTGCATCAAGGGTTAAGGGTTTTCTAGGGAAGTTCTGAGATCAAATATCGATGGAAGAACAGAGAGAGGGCTAGAGAGACAGATCAAGGTGTGTCTTGAGTCTGTTCTAAATTGTGTTACGAACTTGTAAGGTGTGTTGACAGATTTACTAGCAATAAAGTTCAGTTAAAGGAAAAACCCTGTGTTAAATTGTGTTGTTGTTCTTGATCTAAAACTCTTGCGTTTACACTCTATACTATTCCAGGTCACTATGTTTTTATTGGGAACTCAAATGCAAAAACATCAACGTCGTTGAGCTTGATTACAATGTATTGGTGGAGTGTTGTTGTGTTATGGAGGAATCGCTTTGTAATCTTTATAGAGTATTTAGTAGTAAAGATGGATCAATCGGAGCTCTTAGAGAGATAAGAGTTGTGCAAGAAGGAACGTTCAATTCTCTCATGGAATTTTTCGTATCACGGGGTTCTTCCATGTCTCAATACAAGACACCTATATGCATAAAATCTTCGGAGGCTTTAACAGTTCTTGAAGACAAGGTTCTCTCTCGGTTCTTTAGCGACAAATGTCCGCATCTTTGACGATGTCGAGAGCACTCTAAATGACTGGCCTTGAATCATCCACTACCTCCATAAAAAGCACAGAGGCCAACCCATCAGCTCTCAACTGAACCTGTCCATCTATGGATTTTACTATGTTTTTATTTCCACTTGCTTATATGATCAATGTCTAGGAAAATAATCGCCGGAAACATACCTTCTATATATAGAGTTTATTATTTATTTATATGTTTTTGATAAAGTATCTATATTTACATTTCAAAATTAACTTGACCAATTTCAAGGTTTTTCGTGAGTTTCAGATTTTTCCTCAGTAATGAAGAACTTTTTTGGTTACCTATTTTACATCCAACTTTAGAGTGGCAGAAACCCTTAAAATCATTCTCCATATTGCTCGATCAAATACTTAGATGATTGAGTTCAGTGTCACAAGAAGAAAGAATCAATGACTTTGAAATTTGGGTATGAAAGTTATATGAAATTTGGCCACATGGAAGGTACTAAAGTCGTATGTCCGAAATATATCCAAAAATGTTTAGATTCCTAAATCTAATAACACTAGGATTAACCTGCGTTGTAGCGTGGGGATATTTTTTTGACATTCAATTAAGTTAACGTGAAAAATCAATTAATCAGTTTATAAAATTATTTTATAAATGGATAAAGCAAAATAAGCAATTTATTCAATATGTTGGCATTAGACTAATATATTATTGAGGTTAATACAAAATATTATAATATTATAATCATCAAATCTAATTTGCATTGCTTAATAACTGAGTTTTATAATCTGTCCACAAACTATAAAAAATCAGTTTTATATTCTTTGACTATATATCTAAATAAATATAAAATTCTTTAAAGTTAGGTTTGATATAAAATTAATTAAAATACAACAAACAATATTTAGTTTTAAAAGATAAATTATAATATTTAATAGATTAAATATACCACATTTTAGAAAACTAATATTTTGAATTGCGAGATTTTTTTTGGGTGGATATTAAAAAATTAGAATCATAATCCGTTCATATCGAACTAACCCATTCATTTAACATGTTTATACTGGATTAAAATATAAAACTAATTATAATATACATCGTTTAATAACTTTCACTTCACCACAAACTTTTTTAATTAAAAATCAATTTGCTCATATCAAATTTTTGGTAAATATAACTAAAAAAAAAATATTTTTGTATGTAAATATAACAATTTATGGTAAAATATATTTCACCATTTTTCATATCATAATTTTTACTCTTGATTTTTATATTATTTAATTATGAAATTTTTTTATTTTCACGTTTTTTTTAATTAAATCTACTTTATCATATCATTTGAAACAAAAAATATAAAAAACTACCATATTTTTAAATATAAAAATTAAATAATAAATATACTTTATTAAATGAGAAACAAAGACATTCTATATTTTTTTCAATAGATTTAAAAGACAACTATATCTTTCATATTTTAATTATTTTTTGTTATTTGTAATGGTATATCATGCAATATTTTACAAAATAAAGATTAGTTTTTAAATGTCTACTTAAATAATAATATAGAGATGCAAACAGCAAGTTGTAATATGAAAAAATTATGCATCTATAACAACAGTTAAATGATAACGATTAAACCGTCCAAAATAATTTGGAATTTTGCCGAAGTGAATGCTTAGATTTTGTTATTCAGTTCAACTCGAATAAAAACTTACAATAAATGGAGCATCTCTATTAAATTAACCTATATCCGAGATCTTCGATCACTTAGATTAGATTACAAAAATGTTTCTTATTAAAACTTTAGACAATATATAGTCGTCGTTAGAACTTAGAAAGAATTTGTACATAACTTTTTCTCTTTGCTCGGCCGTTAACTGGAACAAAGTGGACACATGTGTAAATGCATGTACATACGTGGGCATGTGTGAGACAGTGTGAGTACATTATATATTAGTATGACTACAATATAAAACGTATAGTGACAAGGGAATAAATGTAAGACATGTGAGAAGAGGCCATGTTTTCCGGCAAGAATCACGAGGGCCACTTTGTGACTTTCTAATCTCGATGTCTTTGTGTCGATCTCTAGGAGGTTCTATTAATCTGTCATTAGGTTATTATTATTCTACTAAACAAATCAGGTCATTTTCTACCTGCTTGGGATTAAGCTATAATTTTTCTTTATATAATAAACCCTATAGATTTGATTTAATGACAGCTTAGTCAAGAATAAGATATTTCCCAATCCATTCGGAACTACTTTTGAAGATTAGATCATGACTTTATATTTGATAACAAAAAGAAGGTATGACATCTAACTATTGATTAATAGATTAAACAAATCAAACTCGTCGTTCGAAAGCTTTCAAATCATATAAAGAAACCCTTTACCTTCAGGTGACATCAAAGATCAAACCAAATATGAGTCTAAGTTACGATCTCATGGATCTGGAGACGTTAACGTTGAATGCTAAGCAAATACAAGACGATGTTTTAAAGGAGATACTCACACTTAACGTCCACACTGAATATCTCCAACGTTTTCTCCATGGGAGCTCTGATAAAGAGCTCTTCAAAAAGAATGTACCGGTCGTCAGTTATGATGATGTTAAGCCTTATATCGAACGTGTTGCCAACGGAGAGCCATCAGATGTCATATCAGGAAATCCCATCACTGGATTTTTCCTAAGGTAAAAACTCTAGATATTAGTATTGATTCGCTTGGTGATCATGACTTTTTATAAACTAACATAATATGCTCTAATGGTTGTGAACTTGTGGATCGTTATGTAGTTCCGGAACATCAGGAGGAAAACATAAGATACTCCCCATGAACAATAAGTTCTTTGAGAACATGATACAACTCAATGCTCTCTCGTCCCCTTTTATCTCCAGGTAATTAACTCTAGATACATTTTTTCTTTTCAATTATATCTTAAAATAACAGAAAAATTAGTTTTTGTTTCAAGCCTCACAAAAATATTAAAATTCCAAAAGTACCACAAGTTATTGTGTTGTGTGAGAATGCTTTTTTACCCTATCTGAATTACAAATAATATTATATAGTTTAAGGTTTAGATTTTTCATATTAAGAAACGGTTTCAAATGTGAAATTTTTGCCATTATTGAAAATTTTAAATTAATTAATGGTGCTAAATTTAGATTTTTTTTTTGTTTAAAGTTAAAACTAGTTAAGTAGCAAAATCTAAAGTAATCTTGGGGACCATTAGAAATATCACCATCACCAATATTAATCTCTATTTTTAAATTAATTATGGTCTGTATAGGTATATGGATGGTGCCAAGCAAGAAAAGGAGATGAAGATTAGTTTCTGTAGACCGTTATCCAAAACTCCTTCTGGTTTGCCAGTTTCTGGGGTACTTTCAAGCTTTGTGACGAGCAATTATTTCAAGAACCAACCAAAAGAGATGTATACAAGCCCCAAAGATGTCACATTATGCCCAGATAACAAGCAGAGTATGTATTGTCATCTTCTCTGTGGGCTCGTCCAGAGAAACGAAGTTACGAGTATAAGTGCTTACTTTGCCTCTACTTTGGCTCATGCAATCAATTTTCTTGAAACTAACTGGAAAGAATTGTCTAGTAACATACGACATGGTCATGTTAGTGAGTGGATTACAGACCGTAGCTGTAGGGATTCGGTCTCCACCATCCTCGGAGAGCCTAATCCTGAACTGGCAACTTTGGTTGATTACGAGTGCAGCCAGAAATCATGGGAAGGTATAATTACACGGCTTTGGCCCAAAGCCAAATTTCTTGATTGCATTGCTACAGGACAGATGGGTCAGTACATCCCAACATTGGATTTTTACTCGAACCAACTTCCTATATTCTCCATGGTCTATGCATCATCGGAAACTATATTTGGGATAAACGTGGATCTTTCATGCAAACCACATGATGTGTCATACACATGCCTACCCAACATGTCCTATTTCGAGTTCATACAGGTTGATGATGAGGAAAACAAGGATGAGATTGTTGATCTTGTGAACGTTACGTTAGGTTGCTACTATGAGCTGTTGGTCACAAATTATTTTGGTGAGTTATATAAACGAATTTCTACTTATATCTACTCTCAAGTTATCAAAACGAAATTTACAATCACTTTTTTTTTGTTTTGCTAGGTTTACATAGGTGTAAGGTTGGAGATATATTACAGGTGACTGGATTCTATAACAGTGTACCTCAATTTCGATTCATACGTAGAAAAGAAATGGTCCTAAGCATTCAGACGGAGATAACAACTGAGGAATATCTTTTAAAGGCATTGAATCATGCGACACTCGTTCTTGAAGCTTCAAATCTGATGTTGATGGGTAGCACATGTTATGCTGATCTCTCTACTATTCCAGGTCATTATGTTTTTTACTGGGAACTCAAATCCAAAAGCATCAATGGCGTTGAACTTGTCAACAGTGTAATGGTGAAGTGTTGTTGTGTTATGGAGGAATCACTTAGTTATCTTTACCGAATATTTAGGAGTAAAGATGGATCAATCGGAGCTCTAGAGATAAGAGTTGTGCAAGAAGGAACATTCGATTCTCTCATGGAATTTTTCGTATCACGGGGTTCTTCGATGTCTCAATACAAGACACCTATATGCATAAAATCTTCCGAGGCTTTAACAGTTCTTGAAGACAAGGTTCTCTCTCGGTTCTTTAGCGACAAATGTCCGCATCTTTGACGATTTCGAGAGCACTCTAAATGACCGGCCTTGAATCACCCACATCTTGTTCAGCTCTCAATGAATCTGTCCTAGCTATCTCATGCATCTATGGATTTTAACATGTTTTATATATTTCCGCTTTTGAGATCAATGTCTAGGAAAATAATCGCCGGAACAAACCTTCTATATAAAGAGTTTTTTAATCAATATTTATTTATTTGTTTTTGACAAAGGATCTAAAATATTTACTTTTAGGTGAAGTTACTTTCACGGACTTACCAAAGTCGGTAACTTTGCATTTGCTGCTCCTATAAATATGTACTTAAGCTGAGACAAATGTAGAAATAAGAACAAGAAAAATATCTTCTCATATACGTGTGTCTCTCATCTCTCTCTTATCACATACAAAATAATCTACAAGAAAATATATATAGAAAATAAATTAGAGTTTGTTTTCGATCCGTTTTTATACTAAAGAGATAAAATTTTGTTCTTATACCAAAGAGGTTAAATTTACGTTCAATTTATATTAGTTTCACTACAAGAAAAATACATTTTTACAACCGCTGAAACCATCATAAGTTCGTTGTAAAACACCTACTACGACAAACTTGCGACGGTTTCTAAACCGTCGTAAACGCATCATCGTAAAGGACATTTTGTCGTAAAATCGTCGTACAATTTAGGACGGTTTAAAATCGTCGTAATAAAGACGTCGTAAAGGCGTCGTAACAATTACAACGACTTTACATCGATTTGTCTCGATTTGGTTTTCAACGTAAACGTCGTAAAATCGTTGTAAATAACCGATGTAGATTCGTCGTATAATTTACGACCAAAAATATCGTCATAATTTGGTCGTTTAATTTTTTATACATTTTGACGTAAAACTTGTTGGGATTTATGAGACAAAACTCAACAAATGGTGGAAGCATTCACTTGGTGAATAAAACCACTTAACCCACACAAAATAAACTCGATCTCATGAGAAAAGAGACTATCAACTTGTGATGGAATCCACACAATAAACAACATTAGAATCGAATCTATGGGGAAGAAAACAATTCTATAAAGGGAAGAACACTCTAATTTGAGACTAATCCTTGATAAGTAACACAACACTTAGAGTTTGTGTACTTAGAAAAAAAAAGATTATGAACCAGTAAGCTAGAGCTAAGAACGCCTAAAGAAGAGATTATAAGAGTTTATGTGAGTGTTTATGAAGTGATAAGGCTGCCTTAAGGGCAGCCACTACAACAAGAACGCCTTGAGCTCTACATTGCAAGAATAAAATGAGAGAACAAGATCGAACATAATGTATTCACTTCATTGATCATTTTGGTTACAAAATACATCATATATATAGAGAATCACAAGCCTGTGGAAGCCCTAGCATATTCCACGACCCCAAAGAGAGAGAGACCCCAAAGAGAGAGAGAGAGTCTGTGGTCCAAGGGTGAAAGCGACAGCACCTAGAAATCACATGTGACTTTAGTCACATGTGACTTTCCCTCTTAATTCAAAATCGTTTTCCCTCCACAGAATCCTTATTTGTGGGCTTTGTTTCTTCATTCCTTTGGGTCTTATTCCACATTCTTCTTCTTGTCTTGATGGGCCTCGGTCTTACACGATCTTGGACTTGTATGGACACCAGACTTGTTGACTTGGTCGTACAGTTCATCTTCTTCCTTGCCGAGGCTAGACTTGGTCCTTGGCTTCTCAAGTCTTGTCTTGTCTTCTTTTCCTCTTCTTTGAGAGATATTGGAGTTGTCTTCGGCCTTGTGTTGATTACATTGGCCTTGACACTCCTCTTCTTCCTCTTCTTTGACTTGGAGATGATCGGCCTCGTCTTGTTGACTTTGGCCTCACCTCTCCTTTCCTTTTTCACTCTAATACTCCCCCGCAAGCTTGGTCGTCGAGATGCCAAAGAGGATCTGAGGCCAAGCTTGCAACACTGATATATCATGATTTTTATGGTTTTTGACCATGATATTGGTATTATTTATGGAGTCTTTTTAGTGTTTTTCAAGTCTTTTGGAGTCTTTAGAGATCCTAGGTATGCTTGGAGCTTAATTGGAGATTTTGGAGCATTTTGGAGCTAAACGGATCAATTTTCGTGAAGGATGATTTCAGCTGTGCATGAGTGTCGAGCGACACTACCATCGGTGTCGCTCGACACCGAAGACCACAAAAGGAAAAACGTGATTTTATCCAATTTATGAAGATTCTGTGAAGCCCTGAAGTATTTAATATTTACAAAAATTTATTAGTTTTGTAATTAAAAATATATTAGTTTTGTAATTAAAAATATATTATTATATCATAAACACATATTAATTAATTTAACTTACAAATTAAACAAACCTGGATGTGAAACACTTGGCGGCAATAGTCTAGTTGTGTGGGGTCAACCAGTGCCGCACCAGACCCGCCCTGACGTGATCAGCCATTGGAGCCGGCTTTGTGTTGTTGCCGTCGACCTCCCACTTCCGCTTCCAGTCGGAAACAGTGTTGTTGAGCCGGAACTTGACCTTCTCTTTGAAGGCCGTCTCTATACGTTCGTGTGTCGAAGTTTTCCAATGCCAGTTTTGCTACAAAAAAAAAGTTAGTAAATATTGTAAAAAATAAAAAATAATAATATAATTCGTAATTTTAAAGCACTTGAACCAAGTGTCAATTGTTGCCTGATCCAGCTTCCTCCAGCTGGTATGGGGTTGTACGAAGAACCCCTTGATGATGTCGGAAACACTCCGACCAACTTGGTTGTCGATCGTAAACCTTTTCGTAAAAATAATTACAAATATAAATATTTTAATAAAAATGAAAATTGTACCAAAACTTTTGTCATCTATACTTTTAGATTTAAGAAGGGTTTTCTGCCTCCTTCATCGATACCTTTTACTTTTTAGACTTTGAGAGAGAAAACTTTTGTCATCTATACTTTTGAGAGCTTTTGGGGAGACAAGTCTGAACTCTGTCCGTTTTGAGAGAAGATTTCGAACCCCTGTTATTTATTCAGTGATTTCTTATTTGCAATCTATTCATTCATGTCTGTTGCTTTAATATTCATGTCTGAGTAGTTAGCTTGTTAGGTTTAGGGTTCTCATAAAGGATTTCATTGAATGTTGGATTGATTTGGTAGTTAGGGTTCATAATCTGATTAGTTCTTCACCATAGGTTGTCCTTAAAGCTAATTCTGGACTGATCACCTAGAACTTAGATCTTAGGTTAATTGATTGACACGAAAGTGTAATTGAATAACTGGAAAGAACCTAGAGTGAGCAAAGTAGCTATCCGCAAAGAAATTTGGTTTAGATACTTTGTGAACATTTCAAACCTGCACTTAAGGCTAGTTTATATCTTTAGGATTTGCAAAGGAATTTGGAATTCTAGGATTTTGACTTAGATAATTCTCGCAACGAAAGTTGGTTAATTATAATTTCGTGATTTGAGTTCAAGAACCGCGCTTAACCTGAATCCTAACTAGTTAATTTATCTGCATTCTCTGATTTCCTGAGAAACACCCTGGACCTAATTCCTTCCCATCGAATTTAAAACCGTTTTCATTGTCTTGTTGTTTTTAATTCTGTTATTTCTGCTTAGTGTAATTCAAGTCTTTTAGGTCTATTGAGTGAATCTCTCGTCTCTGTGGTTCGACCCCTACATACTACAACCGCACATATGTGCTCTTGCAGAGTAGCTCTAGAGATTCATCTTTGAGCAGATCAAGTTTTGGCGCCGTTGCCAGGGATTTGATTTTCGCCATTAGACTTTAGATCTTGAGTTTCGACTAAGTTTTTCTTAGTGTCGAGCGACACCCCTAGAGGTGTCGCACGACACCAGTCGTTTTTGTTTAATTTTACTTTTATTTTGTTACTTACATTGCTATTTCTCTTTGTCTCTTGTGTTTCAGGTGTATGCATACTCGCGGAACCAGAAGCAACAAGGACATCCGGCTAGTGAATTTGAACAACGAGGAGCTAGCAGAGTTAGAGCAAACAAACAGCAAAGCAAAGAAACCAGCAGAGATGGAGAACGCAAACAGACTTTTTCGTGATGATGCTGGAATCTGGAGAGACCAAGAAGGCCATGTGTGCAATGAAAGAGGCCAGTGAATTGATGGAGAGGGTAACATCATCAGGATGCTGGGTGACTACAACAGACCTGAGCAATTCTATGCAAATCGGTCTGCGATTCGCGCTCCTGCGTTTCAGAGGAACGACTTTGAGCTCAAGCCTACTACACTCTTGTGGGTCAGCATCCTTTTCATGGTCTTTCTCATGAGCATCCAATGGATCACATAGAGAGGTTTGAGGACTTGGTCACCAGCATCAAATACACTGGAGTGTCCAATGACTTCCTCTTCTGTAAGTTGTTTCCATACTCTCTTGCTGGAGAAGCAGCTAATTGGCTGAAGCAGTTGGAGCCATGATCACTAACTACTTGGGAGGAGACCAGAAACGCCTTTCTGCACAATTTCTGTGATGATGCCAGGTCTGAGGAACTGAGACTCAAAATCTCAACGTTTTCTCAAGGACTAACTGAAGCATTCAAGGCTGCTTGGGTGAGATTCAAGTTATATCAGAGAGATTGTCCACATCATGGTTTCAGTGATGTTCAGCTGCTGGGTATTTTCTTCAGAGGTGTTGATTGGAGGTATCAGATGACTCTTGATGCTGCAAGCAATGGGAATTTCAACACCAGATATCCTGAAGATGCTGTTGTGTTTATTGAGAACTTGACATCTTGCAATAGTACCAAGAATGCAGACTATCAGCGAAGGAAGCAGGCTGGGAACATGGATGGATCGCAGATTGCTGAGGTGAAGGCTAAGCTGGACTCTGTGCATAGTCTTCTTGTGGGTAAGAAATCTGTCAGATTCGAACCTGATGAAGAAGCTGAGGAAGAGGATGTTAACTTCATCAATGGTGCTGGATTTCAAGGCCAGAGATTTGGTACTCAGCCTGGGAACATGAATTACAATGGAAATAATCAGAGGAGTACCTTCACAGGTAATCAGAACTCTTCTGGTTATAACTCCAAACCTCAGTACCAGACAATCTACTCCAACAACAGTTTTTAAATGAATTATGGTTCTCCTCCTCCTCAAACTCCAGATAATGAGATGAAATCAATGCTCGAACAGATCCTGGAAGGTCAGCAAAAGATTACTGTGGATTTTAATGGGAAGATTGATGCTCTGTATCTGGATCTGAATGGAAAATTTGAAGCTCTGAACACTCATGTCAAGAAGCTGGACATTCAACTTGCTCAAACTGCTGAGGCTGTAAAAAGGCAAGAGGGATTTCTTCCCGGGAAGACTGACACCAACCCAAGACATTACTGCAGTGCTATCACATTGAGAAGTTGTAAAAAGCTTACTCTTGAGCTTAAAAAGGGTGTTTCTGAGGATGAAATCATGGAACTGGAGGAATCTGCAGAAGATTTTAAAACTGAAGAGCCGGTGTCGAGCGATACCACCACTAGTGTCGCGCGACACCAAGTCGAAGATACAAAGAAGAAATCAGAAGTGTCGGACAACACCACCACGGGGGTTGAGCGACACCAACCTGAGGTCCCAAAATCAGGGCCAGTGTCGAGCAACACCACCACTAGTGTCGATCGACACCAGCCGCCAACTGAAGCATATATCACTAAGAAGCCGAAGCCACTGGAGGAAAGGGTTTACAAACCTAAGATTCCTTACCCAGGGAGTCCTAAGAGCTCTAAGCAGGAGCTAGACGATGCAAGATTTAAGGCTTTGATGGAGAAGCTTGTGATTGAGATTCATTTGGTTGATGCTGTGAAGATTAACCCTGTTCTTAAGCGTTATGTGAAGAGGATGGTGACTAATAATCTGAGTTCTGAGGAAGGAGTGATGATGATTTCTGAACAGGTCAGTGCTGTGATTCAGAATAAGATTCCAGAGAAGCTCTCGGACCCAGGAAGCTTTGTTTTGGACTGCTCTATCTTCTTAGAGAAGTTCAAGAGATCGCTGTGTGATCTTGGTTCGAGTGTCAACCTCATGCCATACTCTGTAGCTGTTAGCCTTGGGATGACTGACTTCAAGCCAACTAAGATCTCTTTGATCCTAGCAGGTCGATCTAAAAGAATCCCAAAAGGTGTTTTGGAGGATGTTCTGATTAAAGTTGGTGATTGCATAATTCCTACAGATTTCGTGGTTCTGGAATATATAGAGGAACCCAAGGATCCTCTTATCCTGGGAAGATCATTTTTAGCTACAGCTGGAGCGGTGATTGATGTCAAGCATGGTAACCTTGATCTCCACCTGGGAAATACAATCATGAACTTCAAGATGGAGAAGCTGAAAGATCCAACCATAGATGGTCAAACATTCCAAGTCAGTACAATACCGGAAGTGATAGATGGAGATCGGAAGGTACTTGATGCTGAGAAGGTGATAGATCAACCTGCATTGACTAAGACGTCTACAGAACCAGTAGCTGCTATTGAGCAGAAAACTTAAAACATCATGCTCCATTCATCTCCACCAACGCAAAGGTACTCACCTCTTGAGGCTAATCCTAATTCTTGTGATATCATCAAAACTGATTTGAAAGATGCAGACACTGTCTCACGACGCAAGCTACGATATTATCGTAAAGCACTTGGTTTTTCGATTGATGATATTACAGGAAATAGGTTAAAGCGGTCCAAATACAGATCTCACCCTAGTGCTATTCCTGCATTCCTTGGACGACCTCATGCGCACAACGCTTACACACCACCATGGATGAGACGACTTTCACAGAGGTATTTGTTGCCACTGTCTGATCCACCAGATGCATAGTCCATCCGTCAAGTCAAGCTAATGACTTAAAACAAGCGCTTGGTGGGAGGCAACCCACTGGTAAGTCTGTACATAAGTTGTCTTCTTCTTTTTCATTTTTTTTTTCGTTTTTGTGTTTTAGGTGTAGCAGATACGAAGTGGTTGGTGTCGAGCGACACCAGTAATGGTGTCAGTCGACACCATTGTTGCAGCCAGGTAACTTCTCCGCTTTTACTGTATGTTTTTCATTTCTTTTGATTTTTTTTTTTACCAACTTCGGATTTGATAACATTGGAGACAGTGTTGTTTAAGTCTGGGGAAGGTAGTCGCTGACATTGTGTTTGTTTTTCTTAGAGTCAGTTGTGTGAAATTGTTTTTGAATCAAAACCTGTTGGAGATTATGATGCTTTTCTTAGAATTATTGTGCTGACCTTTCATCTAAGTGACCATTGCTGCAGATTCAGTCTAGATCCGATTAATGAAAAATCCAAAGGCTGACCAGTTGACTAGAGGCGTCCATATTCCCAACAAAGTCCACTAACCTGAGCTAATTTCTGAACTCTTTTTTTTACCTCATTGATGTGACTGATGTTCATAGAGCTAGATTCCTCGTTCATACTTGACGAATGAAAGCCTGTGTGAAATCTAATGTTGGTGATTCTTTCCCTTTTGACAAGCTAAAAAAAAAACGAACGAAAAGGGCGAAAAGATTGAGATGATTTTCTTTTAGGAGTGAAGGGTTAGGAAAATTTCCAAGGATCCCATTATTTCACTTCTAAGTAGGAATGATCACACAAAGGAAGGAGGCGAGGGGTAGGAAAATTTCCTGTGACCCCACTATTCGCTGAATACCTTTGATATAAGATAAGGGGACAAATCAGGGATTCGATAGCAAACACCATCAGTACTCGCAGCTTTAACCTTATCGTGTATATGCCACAAAAATGATGATGAGTGTGCGAACAGAATAAGTCTGGGGGAGAGAAAAGTACCAAAGGATTATATGGCTGATTTGATTGAGTATAGTACGGGAAATAGTCTAGAAAGTTCTTGGCATCTGAATCATCAGTGAGACCCAGCGATGAGGATTTATGGACAATGTTGTGGAATTTTTGATTTAATCTGGGAAGCAGTGAATGTCTGCAGAGAAGTACATGGTGGTTCGATTTGGAATGATGAAGCAGTACTTGAATTACAGGGTGATCGGTCAAAGCGATGTTCCATTGAAAAGTTGAATCTCCGTGTTTTTCAAACCTCTTTCTCTGGCTTGGTTTTCTGTTTGCTTAAGGGCAAGCAAATGCTAAGTCTGGGGGAGTTGATATATCATGGTTTTTATGGTTTTTGATCATGATATAGGTATTATTTATGGAGTTTTTTTAGTGTTTTTCGAGTTTTTTGGAGTCTTTACAGGTCCTAGGTACGTTTGGAGCTTAATTGGAGATTTTGGAGCTAAACGGATCGATTTTCGTGAAGGATGATTTCAGCTGTGCATGAGTGTCGAGCAACACTACCATCGGTGTCGCTCGACACCGAAGACCACAAAAGGAAAAACATGATTTTATCCAATTTCTGAAGATTCTGTGAAGCCCTGAAAACTTTAATATTTACAAAAAGGCCCAAAACGTGTTTTTAGATTTAAGAAAGGTTTTCTGCCTCCTTCATCGATACCTTTTACTTTTTAGACTTTGAGAGAGAAAACTTTTGTCATCTATACTTTTGAGAGCTTTTGGGGAGACAAGTCTGAGTATTACGACGGTTTCTAAACCGTCGTAAACGCATCATCGTAAAGGACATTTTGTCGTAAAATCATCGTACAATTTAGGACGGTTTAAAATCGTCGTAATAAAGACATCGTAAAGGCGTCGTAACAATTACAACGACTTTACATCGATTTGTCTCGATTTGGTTTTCAACGTAAACGTCGTAAAATCGTTGTAAATAACCGATGTAGATTCGTCGTATAATTTACGACCAAAAATATCGTCATAATTTGGTCGTTTAATTTTTTATACATTTTGACGTAAAACTTGTTGGGATTTATGAGACAAAACTCAACAAATGGTGGAAGCATTCACTTGGTGAATAAAACCACTTAACCCACACAAAATAAACTCGATCTCATGAGAAAAGAGACTATCAACTTGTGATGGAATCCACACAATAAACAACATTAGAATCGAATCTATGGGGAAGAAAACAATTCTATAAAGGGAAGAACACTCTAATTTGAGACTAATCCTTGATAAGTAACACAACACTTAGAGTTTGTGTACTTAGAAAAAAAAGATTATGAACCAGTAAGCTAGAGCTAAGAACGCCTAAAGAAGAGATTATAAGAGTTTATGTGAGTGTTTATGAAGTGATAAGGCTGCCTTAAGGGCAGCCACTACAACAAGAACGCATTGAGCTCTACATTGCAAGAATAAAATGAGAGAACAAGATAGAACATAATGTATTCACTTCATTGATCATTTTGGTTACAAAATACATCATATATATAGAGAATCACAAGTCTGTGGAAGCCCTAGCATATTCCACGACCCCAAAGAGAGAGAGAGAGTCTGTGGTCCAAGGGTGAAAGCGACAGCACCTAGAAATCACATGTGACTTTAGTCACATGTGACTTTCCCTCTTAATTCAAAATCGTTTTCCCTCCACAGAATCCTTATTTGTGGGCTTTGTTTCTTCATTCCTTTGGGTCTTATTCCACATTCTTCTTCTTGTCTTGATGGGCCTCGGTCTTACACGATCTTGGACTTGTATGGACACCAGACTTGTTGACTTGGTCGTACAGTTCATCTTCTTCCTTGCCGAGGCTAGACTTGGTCCTTGGCTTCTCAAGTCTTGTCTTGTCTTCTTTTCCTCTTCTTTGAGAGATATTGGAGTTGTCTTCGGCCTTGTGTTGATTACATTGGCCTTGACACTCCTCATCTTCCTCTTCTTTGACTTGGAGATGATCGGCCTCGTCTTGTTGACTTTGGCCTCACCTCTCCTTTCCTTTTTTCACTCTAATACTCCCCCGCAAGCTTGGTCGTCGAGATGCCAAAGAGGATCTGAGGCCAAGCTTGCAACACTGATATATCATGATTTTTATGGTTTTTGACCATGATATTGGTATTATTTATGGAGTCTTTTTAGTGTTTTTCAAGTCTTTTGGAGTCTTTAGAGATCCTAGGTATGCTTTGAGCTTAATTGGAGATTTTGGAGCATTTTGGAGCTAAACGGATCAATTTTCGTGAAGGATGATTTCAGCTGTGCATGAGTGTCGAGCGACACTACCATCGGTGTCGCTCGACACCGAAGACCACAAAAGGAAAAACGTGATTTTATCCAATTTATGAAGATTCTGTGAAGCCCTGAAGTATTTAATATTTACAAAAATTTATTAGTTTTGTAATTAAAAATATATTAGTTTTGTAATTAAAAATATATTATTATATCATAAACACATATTAATTAATTTAACTTACAAATTAAACAAACCTGGATGTGAAACACTTGGCGGCAATAGTTTAGTTGTGTGGGGTCAACCAGTGCCGCACCAGACCCGCCCTGACGTGATCAGCCATTGGAGCCGGCTTTGTGTTGTTGCCGTCGACCTCCCACTTCCGCTTCCAGTCGGAAACAGTGTTGTTGAGCCGGAACTTGACCTTCTCTTTGAAGGCCGTCTCTATACGTTCGTGTGTCGAAGTTTTCCAATGCCAGTTTTGCTACAAAAAAAAAGTTAGTAAATATTGTAAAAAATAAAAAATAATAATATAATTCGTAATTTTAAAGCACTTGAACCAAGTGTCAATTGTTGCCTGATCCAGCTTCCTCCAGCTGGTATGGGGTTGTACGAAGAACCCCTTGATGATGTCGGAAACACTCCGACCAACTTGGTTGTCGATCGTAAACCTTTTCGTAAAAATAATTACAAATATAAATATTTTAATAAAAATGAAAATTGTACCAAAACGTCCCCAGAGCTCGATCCCGATCGAGTTTCTTCATACTGCCACGATCCGGTTGCTGTAGAAGATCTTCAACTGTATATTGGGCATACGGTGGAGGTTTGATCGGGGCTGGGACTGGTGCAGCTGGTGGTGGTGGCAGTGGAGGCGGAGGCGGTAGAGGCGGTGGGACAACCATCGGTTCAGAAACCGTAGGTTGTGTTCCCGAAGACGCCGGGATGGCGGACTCTGTAGCTGAGTTACCGTCCGGATCAACAATGTTCCGGTAGTGAAACCTCTGCCGCGAGAGCCAT